CGGGGTCGTTTCTTTGAGGCTCTGGTTGCTGGCGGGCAGGAGCCGCCGCGGCAGGTTGCAGAAACTCGCCAGCGCTCGCTTTATTGCCCGGGAATTCTCAGCGGTGCTTATGGTGCGTGGGGAGCTCTGCAGCTTGTGCAGGAGCCTGCGAAATAAAACCCTGAAGTGGCAGAAACCTGCTGTCTATTCAGTCAGAAAGCCACGAGTAGAACTGCATCACTTCACCGGTCTTTTTATATTTAAGTATATATATGTGTGTGTCTATCATTAGATACGTGTATCAAATGGTATTTTTTTCCATACAGCTATGACTAGCTGACTTGGGAGCATAGACTCAGGACAGTTATTTAATTAAGACTGCTGTATCACTTTGGCAAAGGCATTGCACCTTCTGACATATAAATATTGATGTGGACTAAGAGATAGTACAGACTTTACTGATGATTCAGTAAAGACATACAGAGTTTTTCTAAAGACAGCTCTGTGTTAAGCTATCAAATTCCTGATGTGAGGCATTACTCAGTTAATGTTTATTTATATATTGAAATATTGTCAAAATCCCCCGGACATTTTTAATGTAATATTTTATGTGGAAGCAATGAAATGGCATGGATCAGCTATGGACCAAGTTAGGTGATTGATTGAATAATATTTAGGTAAAGGCCTTTTGATATTACTTGAATTGTGATAGATAAAACCTCTGAATAAAAACAACTGGAAGTGTACAAAATATTTAAGATACTGTGTTTTCCTCTCTGTCTTGCTATTCTAAATAGACAACATAATTAATGTATATTTTAGCCTTCTCTGAACAAACTTCTGCAGAACATTTCATAAAGGGCAACTCAATATCGAAATATGTTCAACTTAAAAAAAAAAAGAGTAGGAGCTGAAGGCCCCTTCCAGCTTTTGTGATTTTGAAATCACATTTATACATTGTTAAAAATACATTCTTTTCTGTAGAAAGATGTATCTCAGAAGTTAATGATATGTAACAGAAAACACAAACCAGAGCTAAAACAACTGAGTTTCTACTTCTGAATATGTAAAATAATAGAAAAAGAGAGAAGAGTATTTTTCTTCTCTAACGTGTTAAATTTTATCGGTAATACGAAATCAGCGAGAGAGTCCATTGTCATTAAATTAACAAATAGTGACTCTATCCTGCTGCTTTGGCTGTGTGCTGACCTGTGCTGCAGCCCATTTGTAGGTGGAGGACGGTGCTGGTGCTGTCAGAGGACTGGGCTCCTTACTAGAAAAGAGCTTTGAATTTGCCATTTTAATTTAATCTGAACTACTCAAGGTAATTGGCTGGTAGGGGATTTAATTGGAAAGCTGTTAGGAATTTTGTGTTCATATTTATATTCATCCTTTCGACTAATTATAAACAGCCATCTGAGAGCTTGGTCCTGCTGCTGAAGCCAGTTAAAATTTTGTCCCAGTAGGAGTGATAACATGAGGTTTTATCAGTATTTGAATCTCATGAATTCATCGTTGGATTTTTTTTTCATTCCTCTCTTTCTGTGGTATTGTACATGTTTTCTGTCTGCATGGCAGTGTTTGCAGATTCCTCAATGTTGATGCGATACCTGGGTAGTCAGGGCATTGGGACTAGAGAGTTTCCTGGCACTCTGGGTTGCCCAGTTGCTCTGTGGTACAAACAGGAGTTTGTTTGCTAACTTTGTATGCTTTTATCATGCCCCAATTGGAGTAAAAAAGAAAATTACAGTGACTGCAGGATCAGGCCCTTAATCCTTCTCTACTGCATATGTATACCATATATTAGGCCTCATGATTTGAGGAAGAAAGAAGACGCAGATTGCTGCTGTATTTTCTGCAGTGATTTGTACATTCATGCTCCCGATCAGATATTTTGACATGAAAATTAATAGCACTGAATTGGCGAACTCTGAGCTTCAGAGCTCTGCATGACAGAATTGCTGTTAATTTAGGTTTTGCCAGAAATGAAAAAAGGCTTTACAACAGAAAAGTGGCTAGGCAAAGTATGGCTGTATTTTTATAGTTGTAAAATATAGACGCTACACATAAGAAAACACAACATAAAATGGAGGAGAAGAAGAAAAACATAAAATGGAGGAAAGGACAAAACTCTGAACAGTAGAATTGCAGACATAAAGAGATCACAGCTATAAAAAAAGAAGAGTTATTTTAAGAAACTTAGACATGTACAGATATGGCATACAGATATGCATGCTACAGAAATTTAATCTTTGAAGTTCCCTCCACATTTAAGGCATTTTGAAATCTATAAATTAAAATCTAGCTTAAAGGCAAAACAATTGCTAAAGCCTCATTGCAAGATTACACATTCTTTTAAGTCCTTGGTAATTTTCATCACAAAATTTACCTATTCAGTCCCCCTGCCCAGTCTGTCAGCCTGACTTTTCCTCTTTTTTTCCCCTCTTGCTCTCTTCTCCCCCTTCTTTTCCCCCCAATAGGGGGTGAGATTGTTTTTCAGATTATTCTCTCTGCTTTACTGCTTGGGCATAGTGTGCACACCCCTTTCATTATCATTTCCAAGAGGAAGCTAAACTGCATTTTGAAGAAAATAAGTACAAAGGAAATGCATTAACATTTCAATATTAACTAATCAGTGAAATGAACTACCGCAGTCCACTCAAGCTAGTATTTTTAACACTATATGGTTTGTCAAAACAAAATAACGCAGCAACGTTCAAACAGAAGGGACAAACCACTTAGCATATCCGGAGCACTAATGCATACAATTTAAGAATTGGGATGCGTGTTTTTAAATATCTCAAAACAGCATTTTGTCTTCTATGTATTGTTCTCTACTAGGTTAGCAGATAATAACCTAAGATGAGATTTCTAACATTGATTTTATGCAAAATTATTATTGACTTCAATAAGAATTTCATCCACAGGTTAATGGAATGCCCCTGAAGTCTTTCTTTTAATAGATAGTAAGCCTTTTTTATTATAAAGCATATTTTACTGAAGTAATCTTTGAAATAGGTAAGAATAGTAAATAATAAGTAACTGTTTATGACATTTTTTTCTTACTTGTTTTACTAATCTTAAAAAAAATGTTAATCATGTGTCAGTCACTGATATAAAATAAATAAATAAATAAAATACACACATCCCAAAAGGCAGATTAAGATTTCTCTCCTATCAATAGCACAAAAATGAAATATAGCAAGCAAAATACTGCCTTGAAGCAAGCCATGCATGGATTATTAATCTGATGTGGTTCTTATTCATAGTCCCCATATCTGGTGAAAGGACAGTACTAGTCATGCATTAAATATATATGTATGTCTGTATATTTTTTAGTATAATTATAATTCCCACAAATGCATATTTGGCTATGGATAAGGTTTATTTCAATAACATATGCTTCCTTTACTCACAAATAATACTGATAAACAGATCATCAGATTAACTTTTTAATTAAATGTGTGAAAGCACTTGATTTATTTCATTAACATAGAAACTATGGCAGCTGAATATGTTTTTGATCAGGTATTTAACATTTTTATTCCAAGTTAAGCCTGAAAACATGATTGTTGTCTGGGTAGTATTTTTGGAATTAAGTTATATTAATTTTTTAAAAAGCAAGAACTTAACATTTTGATTAGCTTAATTCTGACTTGTTTGTACCTTCTATTGTCTTTTTTTTTCACTTCAAACATATATTTTTCATGCACGTATCTTTCAGGTATATATGCTTAAGGTATAAATAAACACTGTAAAAAACGTTACAGTTTTCACTTAAAATTATTTAAAGCTACTAACATTTCTTTATTTAGCTACTGAGGTGAGAGTGCTTCGAGAGGTAACCAGAGAAGAACTTGTTTAAAACATTATATTTCCTCTGATTTGTAACAATGCAAGAAAATCTTACATTCCTTAAAAGTTCAAGTTTTCCTTAATGTAACTGAAAAAATCAGATTATTTTGATCAAAACTGTCTTTATTTGAATTTATACCGTAGATGCCAAATAAAATCATCCTGATAA